ACGGATGTTAGCTCAGGGCTGATCTCCCTCACAAAAAAAAGAAGCCCTCTCCACTGATGAGGGTCTTCTATAAAAAACTGATTCAATTCCAAACTCTTGCCCTCTTGTCCACATTGCCTCTCGAGAGGTCCAGGTGCATGGGACGGTCTATTCATTCCACCCTCCCTCAAAGCCTTCTGACTCGGGGAGGGGGGCCAGTGAAAGTGAGGGTGCACTAACCACATGACAAGGCGGGTGTTGGCCTCGATACAAGCTCAAGAGACAGCATTATCCGGAAGCCTGGGGAGGGACTGGGGGTTTGGGAGCAGAGGGTAAATACAGCCATAAATGTGGGTTCTCTGAAGACACCTGTGGCAGGTGGACTCCGGGAGAGGCTGCAGGTGGCAGAGAAACCATCTGGACAGCAGACGCACTAAAGCAAGAAGGGGGATGAGACCCAGCGCCGAGGCAGGGGACTAGAGGCAGGGTGCTGGTTAAGAGGCATTCCTAGGATTTATTTTAAATGTGTGCATAAACAAATGGCCTTCTAGGAAATGCGAGTGCAAGTAAAAATGTCCCTATTTAAAGATAAAATGACACCTTTCCTCCACACCAATACCAAACTTCCCCGAATTGTACCTTTGCAACTGCAGTAAGTTACTTTAAAAAAAAAAAAAGGAGGGGAGATGCTTTCTAGATAATCTGAAACAAAGGCCAGAAAAATAAATCAGAGAATCACAGACTTAAAAGAAAATTATATAATCCAGACATCGCTTCAAAAAAAGTCTCTAGGGGCCGGCCCATGGCGTAGCAGTTAAGTGTGCATGCTCTGCTGCTGGCGGCCCGGGTTCGGATCCCGGGCGCGCACCGACGCACCGCTTGTTAAGCCATGCTGTGGCGGCGTCCCATATAAAGTAGAGGAAGATGGGCACAGATGTTAGCTCAGAGCCGGTCTTCCTCAGCAAAAATAGGAGGATTGGCATGGATGTTAGCTCAGGGCTGATCTTCCTCACACAAAAAAAAGTCGCTAAGCATGCAGACTTTACTCCACAGCTTTTCTCAGTCGAGATCAAAAGTTCTCAATGATTTCTTATGTAGTCTACCATCGCATTCCATCACATTCCACACAGGTTGTGGCAGCTCCCAAGGATTCACACAGTAAAACAAAAATATATGACTAATTAGGATCAGGAAAAATACAGTTAAAAGGTCAAGATCCAAGGAAGGTTAAGGCATCAGTGTGTACAGTATATGTCCATCATATAGAGACCTACCGCTTGGTCAAGCCAATTTGGCTTTGAGTTTCCTGACAGGCAAACCAAAAAGGGAAACAAGATCAATTACATGGTTTACCTTGTTCTCTAGGTGTGGGGAGTGGGGGAGCCCATAGAAAAAGGAAAACTAAGTGGCAGGAAGAACTTTGCATGTGGGGCTTCATGTAGCGCTTGGCTTGAAAACACATCAAACCAAGGGCAAATCAGGTCACAATAAGCTTAAAAAAAAATGGAACAGAATTGAATCAAAAATATCAGAGTACATCTCACATACAAAGGTAAATGTTTTCTGTGAGATGAGTGTTTCAATCATAACTAAGAATGGGTGTGTACACCAGGTTACAATGTAAAATAGATATCTTACTAGGAGATATGGTCACAAAAATTTGAAAAAGAGCAGGAGGAAATAGTAAGTGGACTTAATTTCCAGCCTGGCCCGTGCCTATTCCCTCTTGCCTGGCTCTGGGTACTGAGGAACGACCTGATCGTGGTCCTGACCCATCCACCGCTGGTTCTTCCCCTCGGCCTTTGACTCTGTCCAGTAGTCCTGCTTCGCACCTTCTAGGCCTTTCCCCAGTGGCAGTGCCTTTGGGCAAGTATGACAGCTTGGGCTTCTCTCTCCTCCTGGCCCCTCAACCTTCTGGCACCCATCTCTGAATCCCCATGCCGTCTCCCTGCCCCACCCTACCCCAATCTCCCTCTCTTCCGTGGAAGCCTTAGTCAGGGATGGGAGAAACAGAATAGGACCTTTTCCTGCTGGCTCCAGACTGTAACTTCTCCAGTTTCTCCACATTCCTTTTGAAAATGTGAACCAATTACTCATACACCTATGTTCATAGCAGCACTATTCACAGTAGCCAAAAGGTGGAAGCAACCCAAGTGCCCATCAACAGATGAATGGATAAACAAAATGCAGTCTATTCATACAATGGAACCTTATTCGGCCTTAACAAGGAATGACTTTCTGACACATGCCACAACATGGATGACCCTTGAGGACATTATGTTAAGTGAAAGAAACTAATCACAAAAGGACAAATATTGTATGATTCCACTTATATAAGGTACCTAGAATAGGCAAACTCATAGAGACAGAAAGTAGAATAGAGGTTATTAGGGGCCGGGGGAGGGAGGAAAGGAAAGTAACTGCTAATGGGTACAGAGTTTCCGTTTTGGGATGATGAAAAGTTCTGGAAACACATAGTGGTGATGGCTGTACAACATCATGAATGTACTTGATGCCACCTGAATTGTGCACTTAAAATGGTAAGTTTTATGTTATATATATTTACCACCGTAAAAAAAAAAAAAGCATAACCTTAGTCCAATCTTGAGAAAGCCAATCTGAGGACACTCAACAAAATATTGATCAATACTCTTCAAAAGTGTCAAGGTCATGAAAGACAAGGAAAGACTGAGGAAATGTCACAGATTGCATGAGACTAAGGAGAAATAACAACTAAATGCTATGTGGGATCTTGGATAGGATCCTAGAACAAAAAGAGACATTAGTGGAAAAACTGATGAAATTAAATAAGATCTTTAGTAAACAGTATTCCACCAGTGTTGATTTCCTGGTTCTGATAATAGTACTATGATTATGTAAGATGTGAACATTAGGGGAAGCTGAGTGAGGAATATACGGAAACTCTCTATACTATTTTCACATCTTTTCCTTAAGTCTAAAGGAAAAATAAAAAGTTAAAAAATTTTTTTAAATCAGTCCACCCTTAAAAAAAATTAGTGTAATATACAGATGTATATTAGTTAATTCTTACCCTGCAGGTGGTCAGTTCACATTTGAGTACCCAAATCAGAAAAGAACACTCCAGGGATGGTGGGTCAGCATTTGCAAGACTAACTGGAGTCCATCTGCACCAGAGTTGGTCAATTAGCATAATGGAAATGAACAGTGGCTCCCTTCTCTCTGGATTTGGTGAAAATAACCTGCTGGCATCTCGACCTAACGAGAATCACGTGAAAGAATCTAGGAAGACCAGCAGTCCATCCCCTTCAGAGAGGGGGCCAGACTCTGTCAGGGCCCATGGTTGACTATTAAAGGAGGGCCCTGTCCCCTCTCTGGGGCTTAGCTGAAGCCTGCCACTGGAACACCATCACATTTGCCTTGGGTGTCTCTCGCTTCGCCAGAGAGCTCGAGCTTCGCCGAGCTTAAAGGACAGACTGAGGGCTCTCTCTGCGCATGCTTGCTAACAAGTGTCTGAATGAGTGGCCAAAATTGGTCTGAGACTTGCTCTCCCTGTCACATACCTCCTGGTCACGGGACTGTGGGAAAGGACACATAAGGCTCCCATCAACTGTTTCCCAAAAGAATCTGACAATTCTTCAAAGGCCAAACCAGTTCAGGTCAGTTCACAACAGCTCATTTCTTAGGATTCCTGAGAACATGGTCCCGGCTCTGTGAGCACGGCCGGCCCGGGTCTGCACTCCCCAGAGCGGAGCCCTCCTGGGACGAGCTCTCAAGCTGAGCTGCCGCACCTTCCAGAGAGAGTTGTTTGGGCAGTGACAATCCTCCTCTGGGACACCAAGTGTCCACACTGAACCCCTCGGGCTTGCAGGGGCTGGAGTATACTGGATGTCCAAAACACAACCAAACGAATTGATTTAGCTCAGAGTCTCCAAGTTGACGCAACAGTGGAATCGATCGCCAAGCACACGACAAAAAAGCCCACACTTTTCTTTGGGCCCAGATGTAATCAACCCCATCTTCTATTTTCTTCCTCCCAAGGGGAAGACTCATCTGTCATTTCCTGTCCTTGTCCCCCTGCTTCCTCATTCCTCTCTTGCTGGTCAGCCCGGATGCTACCAGCCATCCCGACTCCTGCTCTCCTTCCACGTCACCCCAGGCCCCAGCCGCCCTGGGAGGGGAGCCCTCCGTGAGAGTCCTGGCTGGGATCATCAAAACTCCAGGACGGTCCTACAAAGAAACAAGGTATCTGACAAACTTCACGGCCTGCTAGGCTGAGAGAAACCTCCTTCTCAACTTCCTCAAACTCTGCAAAGGTGGAAGCTGTCTTCCACACAGCCTGCCACCAAAATGACTGCCCCTTTGGCCCTCCCTGACGTAGAGATCAAGAAAAACAACATCCCTGGTGGGGCAGGCAGAACAGTGCCCCCCACCCTGCTCCAGATGCCCACATCCTCATCCCTGGAAGCTGTGAACACCTGGCAAAGGACATTCAAGTTGCAGATGGAATTAAGGTTGCTGACCTTAAAATAGGGAGATTAGCCTGAATTATTCAGGTGGACCTAATGCAATCCTAAGGATCCTTAAAAGTCTAAGTTGGGGGCAAAGAGAAGGTCAGAGTGAGGTGATGTGAGGACAGGACTCACGGTTGTAGGCTTTGAAGATGGAGGAAGGGGGCCATGAGCCAAGGAATATGGGCAGTCTCTAGATGCTGAAAAAGGCAAGGGAATGGAACTGTCCCTAGAGTTTCCAGAAAGGAAGACAGCCCTGTTGACATGTTGATGTTAGCCCAGTGAGACCCACATCAGCCTTCTGATCTACAGAACAGTAAGACAATAAATTTGTGTTGTTTTAAGCCACTAATTTTGTGGTGATTTGTTATTGCAGCAATAGGAGACGAATACACCTGGTTACCAAATGCCATAGTAGCTTGTTTCAGGCCTGATGAAGAAGCGATTCTTACTTAAGTAAAAGTATCTATGTGAAGCCCACAGCACTTTCAAGTTGCCTTCCCAGAAGGCCTGGCTCCAAGCCACTGGCTGCCATTGGCCTCCATTCCCTTGGGCCTTACCTCCAAAGAAACCAGTGTCCGGGGACGGAAAACACATGTGGTTTTGTGTCATAGGACAATTCTAAATAGAACGCTTCGCCTGTGCCATTTTTATGAGGTATCTGCTTGACACAGATCTTTAAAAAGAAAACCCACTCAGAGTTATTTCTGGAACCGAAGGTGGGCAAGAATGGGGATAGTAAAATGAGATTATTACTTACGAAATGAGCAATGGAAGTTAAACCTATTCTTACCTATCACTTAATGCATCAATTCACAACTAAGTATGGCGAGGACAATTTCCATTTCAGACCACCCCAATCCCACAGTGCGTGGGTCTGAATCCCAGTGTTGTTCTTCAATGGCCTCAAAGCTAGTGTGTGCCAATCTGTTCTAGATATTTGTTTGACCAGTGCCATAAACTCACAGAGACCCAGAATTCACTCTTTTCAAGGTATTTTTCTTGTGGCAAGTACCCTAAATGCACAGCAAAACAGAATCCTCCTGAATAGAGGGTGGGGGTGCAGAAGGGGAGCTGCATGGCAGTGGGCACTCCATGTTTCAATAGATTTGGATTCTCTTTCCAACTAGCTGGGAGTGAGGGTTCAAACTCTAACAGCGTCCAACTGACAAAAGTCTTGCTCAGTGACTCTTATTACCCAGGCATGAAAGTAGTTAGGGCTAACAAAGGCTGGCCTAAAAATAAAAAGCCATGATTTCCAACGCTAGAACAGTGGGGCCATTTAAGCTCCATTTTTAGCAAGTCTCGCTTACCTGTGAAGCAGCATATGGCTCCCATAATTCTCCAAAGCACGAAAGCATTAAAAGATTGGAGTGCCTGTGACAAGTGGGCTGGTCCCCAAATGAGTGTTCACACACTGATAAAAGCAGACAGCCGACGGTCCAGTCAACCCAACCGGCTTCCAAGGGGACCCGCCATCATGCTGCAATCTCTTAACCATTAGCAACAGTTAAAATATTAAGCCAAATGACAGAGAAGTTTCAACTACCAATTTATGATATCGGAGACTTTCTGTTTCTGACGAGAGGGCATTTTCTAAGCAGTTACTCCCTAGGGAGGAAGAAAAGAATCCTGAAGCAAAACACCGGGCTTGGTTCAGGCTAAAGATAAAGTACACCAAGAGGAAAAGAGAAGAAAAACATCGCGCGTTGCAGGGCGCATAGGGGGCCAGTGACACTTCCCTAAAATGCAGGATGAGAACCTTGCAGAAATGAACACGCTGGCACCCTTATCTCAAATCTCCTCTGCACAACCCAGGGCACATGCATGTGCTTCATTACGTACCCCGGAGGAAGTGTGGCAAGCCTGAACGCTGACCACAACTAAGAAAGATAAAGTGGAAGATCTCTTCTGTGGTGGACCCACGGCAAGGAAGGGGACAGTAACACAAGCCAGCCTACCAGCTCCCCTAACAACAGAGCGCACCCTGTACCAGGAGCCAATCATTGGACTTTTCTTGACAAGTTCAATGCAAAAGAAATGTCTGTTAATGACTAAGCAAGGGCCAAGAAGATTCTCGTCTGTACAGTAGCAGTGGTCTGTCAAAGGCTGTCGTGCTGCCAAAATTCTCCTACAGACCGCGTCACAGATAATTTTTACCTATTTCGTTAGGTCTTTCAAAAGAGACATACTTCCAAACATGTAAATATACCTTACAAAATGACAGGGCCAACAGCGGGCAAGACTGAGCATGCTGACTTTCTCAGTCGCTCCTGACCACATGTGACGTGCGCAGGAGAGGTGAATAGGCGATACCATTAAATACCAATTTCTGGCCCATATTGCAGAAACAAGACTCTGGCTTTAGAGTCATACATCATATGTTGTTTTCAGTCAGTCAACAAATATTTTTCTTTTGCTGCCCATTCTGGCTGAGACACCCTGCCAGGTGCAGGGATACCAGTGTGGAGGAGACGGCCATGGTCTTTACCTTGGCGCCGAAGGAACTACAGTCCACGAAGCATGATTTGCGGGGTCCTTGCAGTCCTCGGCGTGGCTTCCTGAGCCAGCACGTGCCCTGTGCCCTCTCCTCAAGCAGTGACCCTTCTCCTGAGCATCCGGAAGCATCCACATCCCAGTTAGGGGTGGGGAGCGAGGGAGGAAAAGGAACAGGGAATGATGTCTGGCTACAACAAATCGGATTTCCTTGCATTTTCCAGCAGACGAAGTAAAGCAAAGATAAATAAGATGTCCCATGATCCCCCCTCAAAAATAAATAACATCCCCAATTGGTGGTTTCTTCCCGTTCATAACTACAAACCCAGGAAAGTAAAATTATGACTGCAGCAGGCACGAATTATTTTAGTCGAGTGTGTTATTCCCTTCCAACTCCTAAGCAAGAACTCGTCAGCTCCAGGCTGAAAGCCAAGATTTCCCAGGACAAGGCCTAGGACGATATGGAGGGAAGGGACCAAGCAAAGACCTAGCAGAGCCAGGGAGGGCGATGGGAAGGTGCCTGGGAAGGTGCTGCTGGAGCCCATGAAGGACCAACGAGTCTTGCAGACGCCTAAGCCATCACCACAGAAAGCTTTCCCTACCTTCTATACAAAAATTGGTGCACATAAATTCAACAAATTATCACCTTAGCCCCCCCTCCCATTATAAGAAGGAAGCAATTTATGGCAGAAATAAAAACAAAGAAGATTCCTAAAACAAGCCCTGAGATGGTGCAGAAATCAGACGAGGCCCTGATCCTCCCCCACCCACCTCAAGGAGTGGAAAACTTGCTTTTCCACAGCACTCCCCAAACTGGCCCTGGTTTTACTTATCTATTTCCCAGCCCTAAGAAATCCCTAAATGGGTTGATTCAGAACACCCCAGTCACATTGTGCCTTTAAATATCTTTTCCTACCACTGAAGGTCCCCACCTGGGTGCTCTTGACAGGACAATCGATTTTAAAACAGCAGCTCCCAAGGCGCAACCAGCATAGAGCCAACACACACATGTCAGCAGCCAATGTCAATGATGATGCCAGTCTACAGAAGGTGCAGCAGACACTGGTGGCATCTTGGTGCTCAACTGCAAGCTCAGATGAGAGGGAAGAGCCTGGGATATTGGGAACCATTGGTATTTCTCACTCATGGGCCAGGCAAATACACGGTGGGACCGAGGTTATCAGATGAAAAACAACATAACAACCCTGTGGGGTGTGACTGGAACATTCAAACGAGAGTGACCTGGAGTCAATAATTAAATAGCAGTTCCACCTAGAGGTTCATGTAGGCCTTATGACCTGCAAATTTTCAGCAACTCTCTCTGAAAGAATGATTCAGCCCCACCAAAGACAGTATAATCTGGTTGCAATTTCAGAAGAGAATTCAAACTCTTGAGGTTAGAGGTGTTTGAAAACCACCTAATTGTCTATTGGGGTAGGCAGGGCACCCAAGAGGGTAAGGACATCTGGGAACAGAATAACCCTGATTATTTCTAACAACTGATGGTCAATCATGGCTCACGTCTGGGAGGCAACAGGGAGTGGTGGGGAGCATGGCAAACTGAACCTACATGCTCACCCATCTGAACAGAGCTACCACCACTGCAGCCAAGCAAGAATACCAGCCCAAGGTTACCAGAAGACCTGGAATTTAAGACCAGCCAGGAATCTAAAATGTTGTGTGAAATCTCAATCTGATTCTCAAACACCAACAACTCCAGATTTGAAAAACACCACAGGCCACTTGGATACAGCTGGTGTGGCTCTCATAGCTCCTAACAATCCAAAGGTTATTTTCTACACTGCATTTCCAGGACATCCTACACAACAAAGACCCTTCCCACACCCTTACTCCCCGTAAGCCCAGTGTTCCTAGAACCCGCTCTCCGTCCACATATCTGACTCCAGCCCTCCATTTTAAGACACTCTGGAAAGATAAGTACTGATTTATTTTTATGTTATTTCCACATTCTGACAGAAAAAAAATTAATAATTTCAGATGATTCAAACTGGGTTATTTTCCAAAACTTCTGTGTATCTATCAACATCGATGTAAACATTTGCAGTCCTCCACCAAAGAGACAAATTCAGGGACTGACAAATAGAGACCAGCACAGTTCTCACATTCACCCCTTCCCTCTCACGCTGGCTTAGTCAGTCCGGGCTGCTATAACAAGAATACCATAGACTGGGTGACTTAAACAACAGACATTTATTCCTCACAGTTCTGGAGGCTAGAAGTCCAAGATCAGGGTGCCAGCGTGGTCAGGTTCTGGTGAGAGCCCTCTTCCTGGTTTCCTCATATGGTGGGGAGGGGGACGGGTGGAGAGACAAGCTCTCTCCTGTGTCTTCTTACAAGGGCACTACCCCATCATGAGAGCCCCTCCCTCATGACCTAATCACCTCCCAAAAGCCCCACCTCCAAATACCATCACACTGGGGGTTAGGGTTTCAACATATGAATTTTGTGAGGACACATTCAGTCAAAAAAATCTGTGTGTTTGTGTCTGTCTGTCTCCCTCTCTCACACATACACATGCACACACACAGAAAACAGATGAACACACAAGCTGGAGAGCCAAAAGGTATTGGAAAAAGGGAGTTTGATGAGTGCACCCACTGTGTGCTCGAAATGCATGATGGGGGGGCCTTCACACACAGGAGGGCTCGGGCACAGCATGTTAGTGAGGCCCTTTTTGTTGTGGTTTATTTGTAACTCATTTGAGCCTCATCATGTGCCAGGCTCTTCACAGACACCGTGTGTTTACCCCTAGTGATGCGAGCTGTTCTGCTGGCTTCCCTGAGGAAACGGCACGTAGACGGGCAGTTGGAAATGGCCTTCGTGAAGGAATCAGCGAACAGAAGACCGACGGGAGGACATTGGCACTCATGGGAAAGGATGTAGTCCTCAAAAATGCGGTTGGCTTTTGTGATTATTTAGACATGTGAACCCCGGGAATCAGAAAGTATGAGAAAACCAAGTCCTGTCTTCAGCAAGTTCCCCAGCTCTGACAATTTAATACTTTTAAAATACATCTACAGGGCCG